AAATTTTGTATAAAAAACAATGGCACTTGATAATCATGATCATCAACAGCTGGTGGAGAGTTAATAGATTTGGTTGTCGTAGCAATAAAAGTAATATTAGGATATCGTTGAGAAAGAACATTGTAAAAAGCTGGCCAACGGTAACTGTATGAACTTGCAGCAAAAAAATCCTCATTACCGATTTCCACATATTTAATATCAAATGGTTCACTACGACCTAAACGTTCTCGTAGAGCGCCCATACTATTGTTACTTGCAGAGGCAGTCAAAAAGTCCAATTCTTTGATAACTTCATCAACATAAGGTTGAAGTTCATCTTGAGGTACCGCTTTTCCATCTAATGAATATCCAGCGTAAACTGCTAGAACAGGTGTTGCACCGATATCTTCAACAAAAGTTAATAATTCAATCAGTCCGAAACCTTCAGTATTATAGCCTGTTCATGTTCCTCGTCGTCCTGGACGATTCTCAAGAAGATCAATAGTATTATTCCAAATAAAACGTTCAAGAATGGTAGGACCTTCAAGATCATTACCACCTGGAAGTCGAACATAGCCAGGTTTTAAATCGGCAAAAGCTTGTGCAATATCCATACGAGCACCATTGACTCGATCTTTGTAAGTCGGTGGAAAACAGGAAACAATATTAAATTCAAAGTCACCCTTGGAACCTGGAGGAAATTCAATGAAGAAAACGTTTTTGGCGGATGAAGTATTACTAAAGATAGGAATAGTAAAAGAAAAAGGGAACCAATTATCAGCAGGAACTATGGATACATCGATTGTAGATATGCCATATGTAATTTGACCAGTTGAGTCGCTGAATCCAATACGTAGTTGACCACCTGCTACATATGCTTCTCCTAATGATCGATAAAAGAAGCTTGCTGTATAGTTTTGAACTTGAATATTTATGCCATAAAAGCCACTATTTTTGAAACCAGAAGGTGAAGTTGAGTTTTCAATGAGCGAAATATCTCAAATGAACCGGTAAAGCGCTGGACAAAGGTTGGAAAGTATTAAGAGCAATTGATCCTTGTCCAAATGGTGACCATCCATCGAGTGATCGACCCTTTTCTAAATATTATAGACAGATCAGAATTTGTTCTACGTATATATAATAAGAAAATGACTGACCTTGAAAAGCGCGATTGTAGATAATTTCTGCATATAAACCACCATCATCATCCCTATTAATATTTGTTTCGAGAATAACACCATGCATTGTAGATGGAATGATTTGGCCGGTATTTGCATTTTCAATATTGAGTGAAACAACATTAATATTGTTTTCATTCACGGTAGGCCAACCAGACGATATTGTTATAACCAAAGAAGCTATGAAACCAATTAATGGTAGAGTGATCTAGATATCAATTAAGTTAAATAGATGTAATCGAAAGGAAAAGGAAGAAATTGCATATTACTTGCTTCATTATGAACATCTTTATAGACACAAATGAAACAAAAAAATGTGGCCACACGAATAGAGATAATGTTAAAGAGGCAGGTAGAATATAAGAGAGAAAAAGATACCAGCTAGTATAGGAGCACCAAGTGTTTTATCTCACAATTATCATGATAAATGACCGTTATATTTTATCTCTGCTTGAGTTCTTGTTCGGTGTTCGCTTTTCACTGGAGCCCGTCGGAACCGAAACTTGTGAAATCGATTTGTTGAACGTTCTTCAAATCCGGGCCGGACCCAACTCGTTGGGCGCTAGTTTTCACTATATATGACATGTCTTTCTGTTCCCTAATGCAACAAGTATGTAAGGAAATTGTTTCAACAAAGGACATGAAGTAGTCGAATATCATCATTATGACGGATGGTGATAATGCTTCCTGTCCAGTTGTCATCACCCCAATATTAGCCATTGATGAATCCGAATGCGGTCTCTTCGAGCGTCGTCAATAAAACTTTACATTGCCAAAAACAAGACTATCTGTGACTCTCATGCAGTTCTTTCTTACTAAGTTAATTGTTCAACATCAATTATGTAATAGTTCACAACAGGCTTTTTTTTCTCACCTGACCTACAGACCAAACCAGACCACCCGATGTTTCTCACTTTTTAAATCTAATAATTTCTACAACTTTACAATGTTTTACTTCATCTTACAAAAAAAACAATTATAATTAATTAACGTGGATGACAATATACTCGAAATTTGCGCAAATAATCGAAGCTCAGCAGAGTTTATATGCCTAATGTGGAGTTTTAGGCAATATTTTGTCATAAAAATCCGAATAGTCGTAAGAACTCTGTTGAAAATCTGACCAAAAAATACATATTTTTTACCTGTATAAATCGTTCTCTTTTTGGATAAAACCCCTCCTTTATCGATATTTCTGTCTGCTATCGTAAAGAAATATTTCTCTGTTCTATATACGTATTTTTAGCGATAATGGATAGTGTAAGTTGCCATTTATATGCCACTATTCACTGAAAAAGTAAGTTTCTACCTCAAAATGGTTAACATTTTCGCATTATTCTTGGAAAATGGCAAAAAAGAGGGAAAAGAGGATCATTCACAAACCAGATCCAAACAATTGTTTTATTTCGATGGCATCAATCAAACGTGTTTCCTTGTTATCAGTGGGATTCTTATATTCATAGATAATATCAATATTCGAACGTTGTTATAGCCAAAGAAGACGTTGTGCATCATTATTATTGATTGAAATTTCAATTTGAATTTGACCATCTTGATTCGAAATTAAATGAAGATTGAATTAGCCTCTATGTATAGCCAGTTTCTTCGATATAGACGTGAATGCATGATGCCTCGGCACACGTACGATATAGAAATCTTTCTTTTTCAAATTTGCACATTATCAATACCAAGATCGATTGATTCTTGAAAATTGAATATTTTTCCATCAAATTCATCATCGGCCTGTTCGAGAATGAATTGTTCGTATTCGGGCATTGCTCGAGGTGAAAAGATTCGTATAACGGACGATGACAGACATTCGAAACCTTTCTTTTTTCTTCAAAGAAGGATCTACTCATAAAAAACTCACACCCTCAGTGCTGTTACGAATCAACAGTGAGAGAAACACTATTAAAGTGTTCGTTCAAATGAATGTTGTTTGTGATGTTCCTTTGTTACTGCTCATTGGAAGAATAGCAATTCAATCTCGATCAGCTCCGAGGGTAGACGAGTAATAGATTTTATGCAGAAGCCGACGTGTGGGAATATAAGAACTTCTTCGTTTGAATATTCTGAAATAGACGATATATCTAAGGCGACGTTTACCAAATTAGTGTATTCATTGTTATTGGTATTATCAAAGATGCATAAGACAGGGAGTGGTCGAGATGGATCAGATGAAACTGTTGCAAATCGTTCAGCAACGTCTCGATGTTTCAATGTAGATGTGAATGGTTTGATTAAGAAGCATTGGTACAGTTTGTAGTTCTTTTCGAAATCTTCTTGGGACAATTTCATTCTACGATACGATTTACCAAAATATCGATATTTCTCCAAAGATTTGTCTTGGAAGAGACATCCGGGGAACGCATGAAAGCGTTCATGATTCGCAATATTGTCGCCCGATTCGCCTCGTGTCAGACCTTCATTAATGGCTCTGTAGAAACCCGTCTCAGCAGAACAAGGGTGTGAGTGTGGGTGTGGATGTGAGTGGGTGTGTAGGTGTGGTTGTGGGTCTGGGAGTGGATGTGGGTGGGTGGGTGTGGGCGTGACCGGAGATATTGCTATGAACCACACCCACACCCTTGATCGAATGCAAGCCCGAATCTGTTTCCATCAGTATCTACCACCTTCTGTGTACATAAACAACTGAAGGATCAAGATTTTACCTATCCATTGACTGCTTTCAGGAAAAAAAATGTCTACCTAAATTTATTTCTTGTTCTTCACTTTCTCATCCATCGATACTTCTTAAATTAAAAGTTTTTGCTCATTTGAAAAGAGCATCATATTTACAACAAAATTTGTCAAACTAATAATAACATCCTAATCTTCAACTATATGAAATAGTCTTAATTGTATTTATGGAAACGAGATCAAGTGAGAATGTATTCTATGCAATCAATGTGAAGCTTTACTTATTATAAATTATCCTCTGGCACTAATTCACTATCTAATCATTTTCATATAGTTGTCAAAACAAAAAGAAAATTTTCAATGCTCAAACACGTATCAATCAGTTTTACGCATCTTCAAAAAAAATCTACCATCTATTTCAGGCCGAGTTAAGTAGAAAATTAAAAACTTGCACCAAAAATTTGCAGTGCTGGTTGATATTTAAACGATCAACTATATTCTGACCAACATTCTCTCACAGTATACTATCGATATAGCGAGGGTAGTGCAAAAAAAAAAGAACGTGCGACATAAATCGATTTTGTAAAGATAAAATGCTTATAATTGTATATCACAGATATTAATCTTTACAGATGTCACTATCACTTGATTTTATTCTAAGTATTATTAATCTACATATTAACTTTATCTTTTTAATAATCAATGAAAATATAAAAAAATATGATTTATGATCATTTATTTACATCATATCTTTCCGATACTTTCGTAACTCATAAACAGAAATTATTGGTTGTTGCATCATATAAAGTAAGATTGATGAATCATCTATATCATATATGCTAAAACTCTAAATTCAAATTTTCGATCAATTTGAATTATTGATATTTTAGAGATATGCAAAATCTTTCTTTATACAATACACGAACAATATCATTATCTGATTTAACTGGTGTTAATGTTGTTAGACATTTTGCTATTGATTCAGACAAACAAATAATCTATCTGTTAACTTCTCATTCTATATATTCATTAACATTAGAAAATGAAAAAATTAAATCTATTTATTCATCAACTGATCAAACAATAATATTAGAAGATTTATGTTATCTTTCTGAATTAAATCATTTATGTTTAGGTTTATCAAATGGTGATTTAATATCATTACAATTTGAAAATGATTTTGATGAAAATATTAATGTTATTGGTACATTAGAAGAATGTATACATGAATTAAAATCAAGTCCAGATCAACAAATACTTATTGCTTTAACAAATACAAAAGTACTTTTACTTTCAACATATAATGATTATGAACCTATTGCTGAAACATTACTTGATACAAGTGATTTTGGTGAACAACAATTAGTAAATGTTGGTTGGGGTTCAAAAACAACACAATTTCATGGTTCAGTTGGTAAAAAAGCTGCTCTTGAAACTGTTAATGTCGTTACAACAAAATTAAAATCTGATGATGATGATGGTCGTAGTCATATTGTTTGGCGTGATGATGGTGATTTATTTGCTGTATCATTTATTTCGTTAACAAATCAATGGCGTACAATAAAAATTTTCAATAAACAAGGTCAATTACAAGCCACAAGTGAAATATCATTAAATGGTTATATTGAATCAGCTATAGCATGGAAAATAAGTGGAGAATTAATTGGTGCTGCAATGAGATTTAATAATGGACAAAAATTAACAATAAGTTTTTTAGAAAAAAATGGTCTTAAACATGGAGAATTAGTTTTAGAAACAGGAGAAAATATTAAAAAATATGTTCAACATTTAGCATGGAACAAAGATTCAACGATTCTTGCTCTTGTTCTTCGTCGAGAGGTATTTAAAAAGAAAACTTTATTGATAGACTATAGAACAAACTTGCATGAAAAAAGGGCCTGAATAACAGGATTTAGATATTCTAAATAGGGCAGTTTTTTATTTTATCTCACGAGGGAAAGTTCTCAAATGATTAATCGCTTTTGAATTCGGATCATGTGCATAATTTAGATGCACAGAGTCCGAGTTCAAAAGCGATATGTCAAGTATAATGGGTAGTGATACATTAATTTGCTACAATTGCCATATGATCAACATACAAAGCTTGAATTAGTCAAGTTATAACTGTCGGCAATAATCGATATCAGCGTTTATGAGTTTATCAAAACCTATGGTAGCATGTTGAGATCTGCTATACATACAATAGATATAAATAGGATAGATTGTTTCCTTGATAATCGATTATCCTTAGAATACAACTATCTACCAACAACAAAATCCTTGCGAATCTTTTTTTGGGAAGGGTACTTCAATGGGTAGTCAACCACAAAAAAGCGCAAGGTTTTTAGAAGACTATTCCGTCAGCAAAGCTTATTACACTGATCATTTCAATAAAAAAAATTTTAAAGTTTACTCAATAAATCATTGTGCTAGAACAAAAATACTCCTAGTTGCTGCTGAGCAGTAGTTTACGTTTTCGAGTATTTTGACTTTAGCATAATGAGCTGTACATACGAAAAAAAAGCTTCTTAAAACCTTGCGTTTTTTTTTGCAGTTAATTAACCTGGGAAGTATCCATCAAAAATACCATTCGCAAGCATTTTATTGTTAGTAATATAGTAGAGAGCTGTGTGTTCACATTTTTGTAGGGCCGGATCTGCAGATTCTTAAACAACAATTAGCCATAGATTTTTCATTTAATCTATTGTATATTCGTATACGAAGACTAAAGAATGCATGTTAGTTTTAAAAGATTTACCCTGACAAGTTCTCTTGCAGTAATTATTGACATGAAATTTTATTTAAGAATGATTCATATATTCAATTATGGTCATTAAGTAATTATCATTGGTATTTAAAACAATCATTTTCATTTCCGTCCATTAATATTCAAGCACTTCTATGGGATATTGATATAAATAATAAACTTCATTTCATAACTGATAATGGTCAATATCATTCAATGTCTTGGTCATGGATAAGTCAAGTTAGTTATACAAATACTCGTTCACTTGTTTTTCTTATTGATGGTTGTCATTTATTTGTATCGAATTTTACTCATTCATCAATTCCACCACCAATGTCTTCATATGAAATTATTTGTCCATTACCTATACTTGCTATTGCTTTTGATGATGATCATGATAAATTAATTCTCATACTTTCTGATGGTTCTTTAGCAATATGTGGTTCATCATCGAGTCTTACTAATTATCGTACAATAATTCATCTATCAGAAATAAAATCTGTTCATTATGTTACATCATTAATATCTTCATCTGAATCACCAATTAAAAATATTCATAATGCAACACATTATCGTCTTATTAATCAAGAATTTTATTTTATTGAAAATTCTCATTTACATATATATAATCTTGAAAATAAAACAAAAATTAGTTTATTATTAAATTTTAATTGTTTAACAACTGCAATTGATAATGAAGAAATTAAACATTTATATTTACAAGATGAACATGGAAAAATATTTCGTTTAGATAATAATGAATTACATGCTAAAATGCATTTTCCTCGAGCATGTTCACATTTTTCAGTTATATTAAATGGACGATTTGTTGGTTTAACAGAAAATTATCGTTTATATTTAAATACAATTGAATTAGCACATAATTGTAATTCATATTTTATTCATGATAAAACAATACTTGTTTATTCAACATTACAACATCAATTAATATTTCGATCATTAATTAATGATGAAAATACTGCAGAAATTAGTCATCGAAGAACTGGTAAATAAAAAGTTGTTTTATTTTATTAAATGAAAGTAATATCTTTTCTTTCGACTATTCTTACATGTTGAAACTTATGAACAATCACCTATCTAAAAGCATTGTTTTCGAAATGATCAAAGCTCTTGAATGGTTGTTCTAGTCGAAATCGGTTAGTTAAAAATAG